CCTGGCCTGCAGCTCCCCTCCTTCCCCCTCCACCTCCAGCCCGGGCAAACACAGCAACCAAAATCCCTTGCCTTGCTGGCCTCCCGACAGTGTCTCCCACGTCATGGCCAGGCTGAGGCCCTGCACAGCCCCGTGCATTCCCCTCCACTCCAGCCTGGCTCCCCGACAGCAGCCTCCCTCCTCTCTGCTCACAGTCCTCTCCAGCCCTCCTCAGGGCCTTGAGGAGCCCTTCCCTCACTCTCCTGGCACCGCAGGCTTGATCTGTCCATCCACATCTGCTCTGGCTCACAGGCCCAAGAAGTGGGAGCTGCACTTCCTTTGCATGCGAAATGCCAAGCTCAAGGGATACCAGAAGTGACAGTGCTGCGCAGCTCGCCTGTGGGTTCCACGCCTCTGCGGCCACAGCAGCTCCCGCCTGCCCCACCAAGGACGAGGTGACTAGTTCCCATCCTGCTGAGCTGCCTCCACCAGCCTGGCATTGGGCTTTTGCTGCATGTCACCTTCTTCTCACTGCCAGCCCACACCAAAGGGCACCAATGGGACTTGGGTGGAAACAACCTGTCTTGTGAAATCGCTCAGGATTCAGTGTCCTAGTTCACTGGAGACCATTTGAATCTGTCGATGACAAAGCCAAGTTGACAACAGCCTGGTGCTGAGGGCTGCTCCTTGGACACGGCTGCCCTGATGCAGGCAATACAGGCTCAGCTTCTCCAGGATCAGGCAGTCAGTGCGCTTTGCGTAAAGCAGAGCTCCAGCAGAGACCGAGCAAAGGAGACTGACCCCACTCTGGGCAGGGCACTGCCTGGGGTGGGAAAGATCCAGGCTTATATCCCTCCGAACAAGTGGCCTGTGGGTAGCCATGGCAGGAGGGAGGTGGGCAGAGGGATCTAGCAGAGAAGCACTGAGAAGCTCTTTCTGGTAACCATTTCCAGGGGAGTTTCCTCAAGGAATTCTAACAAGTTGGTGTTTTCCAAGAAAAGTTTTTTGAAAAACTCCCAGCTGGCTCCTGTACTAATCTCATTTACTGTAGAAATAGGTGCATCCTATGGATTATTTACAACACATGAGGAGGGTCCAACTCCAGTCAATAGGCCTGCTTTGTACAGAACTCTCCAAAAACATTTACTCTTGCCAGTCCAAGATAGTAAATCAAATGATGCTGGTACTGCAGACACTTGCTCTATTATCTACACGTATTCCCAATTAAAAAGCTTTCCTAAGAAATCAGGCTGTTAATTAAAAGGATGGGAAATTACTGGAGGCAGTGCTGTTCTGTTATGCATTACAAGATAGTCCTCAGGCCTTCGAAGAACTGCAGCCCTTTTATGAGTCTAATGTAGCTGGAGGTAGAGACTCCTGCTTCCCCAGGGCCTGGGGGAATGCGCAGGGGAGCAGAACACCTGGGTTCTCCTCCTGCCACGATCGCTGCTGGCCTTGGCCACAGACACAGCATCACAGCCTGCAAAGAAGGGACAGGTCCTACAGCCCATAAGAGGAACAGGAGAAACTAAGTGCTCCACCATCCTCCCACAACAAACCACCTGATGGAAGATCCTCCTACCTCTGAGGCTGTCTGAAGTGTGCAGGGACCCTGCCTCACTTGCACAAAAAGCCCCGGGGTCAGGTTAGAGTCACACATATCCTCTGCCTGGGCCCCAGAATAGGCATGAGGGGCCCTTCAGCATGCAGCATGTTGCTTTCCTTGTGAGATACCTCATGAAGGGCTCTCTGCTCCCCAGGACGCTGAGCACAAGGGCCAGGCCAAGGAGTGGCCAGGACTCTTCTGTTCTCTCCAGGACCGGGTACCACTGGCTCAGGGTCTCGTAGGGTCTCATCCCAGAACTGCACCTGCCTGTCCCGTCTCTGTATGGCCAGAGAGCTCATGCCAGCCTTCACACCTGCAAGTCCAGCCTTCAGCACGAGGTGCCCGCACATCCTGCACATGCTGCTCCCTCTGCTCTAACATGGTGGACCAGGAGCTGCTCTCTACAGCCACAGCTTGGCTGAAGCTCCTGTGAGTCCAGCACCCCATCCACACCTCGCACAGAGACAAGGTCACACTGTCACCCACCTGCTTTTCTTGGGTCTTGCTCTGGGGGAAGGCTCAGAGCTGCTCTTCTTGTCTTTAGGCTCCTTGGGGGTTTTCGGTTCCCGGGGTTTCCGGGGCTTTTTGGCCACCTCCTTCTGCTTGGGCTCTTTCGGCTTCTTGGGCTCCTTGACCTTTTTAGGCTCTTTTGGTTCTTTAGGCTCTCTCCTCCTCTTTGGTTTTACCTCCTTCTCCACAGCTGCTTTTTCTCCCCCTTCCTGTTCTCCCAGCTCCTTTTTCTTCCGTTTCTTCTTCACCCCTGTGCCCCCACCCCCACTGTCCTGCATCCCGTTCTGGGCTGCTGTCCGCTTCTGGGGAGCCCCATCAGGCTCCTCTTCCGGGCACTGGCACTGACTGTCCACGTCCGTGGCCGTCACCTGATGGGGCACCTCATCCTCCTTCTCATCGCTGGCAAAGTGGTCCTGTGCCTTGCACTCCCAGGCATCCGAGGCATCCGACATTGGTGAGCGGCTCAGCACTTTCAAGCTCGGTGGCTGCAGAGAGAACAGAAAGGCAGCATGTGAGGTAAATGCCACATATAGAAATAGCAAGCATTTGCAGGGAAGCTCTTGGCCTACAGCCCCAGCAAGGCCCTATATGTCTGGGTATAGTGCTCTGCGTGGTCTCCATCCCTAGATATACAGGGTCTATCATTAAGGCCTAACGACCACCACGTGCAGAGCCTCACGCAGCTCAAATGCCAGGACTCCCCTTCCCTCCCGATGGAGGTTGGCAATAGGCAGTCACCCAGCAGGGAAAGTTAGAGTGAGGTCTTCTGGCTCCCCACACCACCAGCCCCATGGAGGTCCAAGGAAGAGGCAGCTGGCACCTCTCTTTTGCCCTCCAGCACAGCCCTAGCTTTGATCTCACACTCCAGCACCTTCCTCTGCTGAGGCCCAGAGCTGCCGAGTGACCCACCTTCTGCCTGTTGCCCAGAGCCAGGGATTGTCACAGCAGGGCAGGGAGAGAGGAAATTAAACCTGCCTTGCAGCTTCCTGCTTGAAGAGGGCAACAAGAAACAGGCTCCATAAAGCCCTGGGGCAAGGCAAGGCAGGAGGCAGCCCTGCTTGGAGCAGAGCTCAGGGTAGAAATGCAGGGCCCTGGGAGCTGCTCTGGCGCTTTGGACTCCCTCCAGCCCAGGACAGCACATCTGCTCTTCCTGATCCTGCTCTTTGTTCCCTTCCTGCAAATTTTCCAGCACTAAAAACTGAAAGGAATTCGGCTGCCTCCCCCACACGCTCCTTCACAGCAGGCCCAAACTGAAAACAGTACTAAACACCCAGCTCTGCTGAAGAGGCAGAAGGAGCATCTGCGATAAGGAGCCCAGGCTTGTGAGCAGCGACGGCCAGCTCCTCACGGGGAGCTGGGACAGCGGGACTGGCCAGGCTCCCACAGACCAGGGGCCGCGAAGCAGCCCAGTGCTCTCCTGAGAAAGACAGCAGCACGTGCCATTTTGTAACTGGGACAGGATAGGGAACCAGAAACATGCCTCCAAACAGCTGCCAGAAACAGAGAGAGCAAGGGCTGTGCAAAGGGCCAGGCAGAAACATGGCTGTTTACAGCAAGGATGGAGAAAGCAGTAAGTTGGGCTCCGTTTCAGCTGCTCTACCCATTAGTCCTCATCCCCAGAGCTGGCTGGCACAGGGAGCACCTCTCTCTGCCTACACTGTCAGCCAGGTCATTGCCTCTTTTCCTCTCTGATCATGACCAAATAGCTACCAGAGAGTGCTTGGTCCACAGCCAAGCGCCAATCCGCTGCCATACTGGTGGCTGCCCATTGCCAGGCAGGAGGGAGCCGAAGAAATGTCCCAGGCAGATCTCTGCCCACCAAACTGGGCACAAGCACAGGCTGAGCTGCTCCTCCAGCCCCACACTCATATGCACCTGCAAAGGGGAACACAAGCACCAGACACTGCTGGGACTGAGGATCGAGGCCCGCAACGGGAGAGAAAAGAGCATAACCTTTGCAGGAGACGGCAAATTTTTCACCCACAATGAAGCTGATCAATTCCTTCCTTTAACCAACATCTCAGCCGCAGTGAAGCTGTAGCCATGCCCCTGCCCAAGCCTTTATCATGGGGGCTGGCAGATAAGCACCAGGACAAATTCAGCAGTGCTTCCAAGGCTTGAGAGCTGATCACTGGAAAGGTGGGGGTCTGGCAGCTGTCACATGAAACACAGTGCGGAGCTGAGCCCCTGCCAGGCCTGCCCCACCAAGCAGGGCCGTTTCCTCTGGAGGAAAAGCCACTCCAGATGGTGCAGCAGACCCTCTGCCTCCTAGGAGAGAAATCAGAGATCCTTGTTCCCCTGAGCTGCCAGGCCAATACTCTTGCCAGCAGGTCCAAAACTACCTGGTGAAAACTAACAAGTGTTTCACGGGTAACAGCTTTTCATCGTTCAAAAAATATCAGAGTGCCCCGTTTTCCCCCAAAGACTGATCCCTCCAAATATCACAGAAGCTGTTTCTTTGAAGTGCACAGCCCAACCCAGCTGTGCTACTGTTCCTGTAAGCGTGGCTGGTGAGAGGCCTGGGTGTCACTGTGTTACAGTGTGCCTGCAGGGGCAGTGGCAACATTCCCCCTGGCATGTTGCATCCAGTCTCTGCACAGGGCACCTCGTGCCAGGAGCCATGAGAGCTATTTCCTTTCACAAGCCACTTCCCTGATGCTAAGGTTGCAACAGGTCCTTTGACGGCCAGGAACAACGCTCTGACCTCATGGAGTCCCAACACCGTTCACTTCTTTAGATATGCCAGAGCAGCATGAGAGCATGTAAATGTTTACATCCTAAAGCCTGAGAGCTGGAGTCCATTCACGGTGGTCCAAGTGAAGGGTACTCTGTACAACCTGATTTCTAATTCAGATAAGAGAGAAGCAGTAAATGAAAGAGATTGCAAAAGAAAAGGATTCCAGAAGTTCCTGGGGCCACCCGTGAGCTGGGCTCCCTGCACTCGTGGCATCATTTGGGCAGGCTGTACCACAGCGCTTCTGTCCATATGCAGCACTCTCTAGCACACTGCCTTGGCCCCCACTGCCAGTTTGCTCAAGTAACTTGGGGCAGATCAGTGCAGTCACCCTAACACATGGACAAACACTCAAAACACCCTTGAGCAAGTATGGGGAACCTACCTTGTGCAGGGAGAAAAACAGCACTACGGTTGTCTCCAAGCCCTTGTCTTACAGGCTGAGTAAGAGGAGCAGCCCTAGCCTCAGCCTTTTTGTTTCTCAGATCTTGCAAGCTGCCCGACTTAGGGATCAGTTGGAACAGTTTACTGGATTAGCTACAAAGCTTACAGACCCCCAAGAGGCTGGATCTCCTTTTGCTTCTGCACTGAATTGCAGCCAAGTGCAGATACCAGACAGAAAGCACATCTTCAGCTTCCTAGCACAGCAGGAGGGTGAACTACTCT